TAAAAACAGCATCAATCGCACGCTTATGGCCTGACCATCGTGTCTGAATCACTTTAGAAATTTTGGTTCCTTCGTATACTTGTTTTACTTTCCATCGCGAAAAAAAATTATATATCATTTTGATTTGACCAAAAAACAATGACGGTTCGTGAATATCTTCGATTGCCGCAATCACAACCAGATGTAAACGATGATTCATGCAATGAACGTACGGAATGGTTCGTCCCAATTTTTGTTGAATGATCGTTTGAATTCCACCGTGTTCACCACTCATTACGCTGGCACCATCATAGCATTGGCAAAGTAGTTTTATGAGTTCCAACTTGAACTCTTTTAATTTCACCAAAATAAAATTTGCCATTGGATCGGCACAAAGACTGTCACTTTTCTCGAAAGATATTAAAGATTCCTTTGGTTTTGAATTAAGCACATATCGTGCTGCAATTGAAATTATTTCATTTTTGTTTTTGTCTTTAGTACCATCCACCAATAGAGTGAATCCATCTGCAGCATTCACTTCAGCAATGACTTGTTCGCGCACTATTTCAACCATTTTTGCAATCAGCTCGTTTTGTATATCAGGTGATGTGTACATGGCGTTTTTCGGTATGACAGCTAAGCATTCTTTTAACTTTTCATCTGTTTGCATTGTGAATTCGAGTAGCTCTGTGAAGAGACCAATTTCTTTGTGCGTATCGACATCATAATTACCTCGAAATGGCAGTTCATGTGATGCGAGAAATTTAACAATACGGATTAATGATTTCACATAATACTGTCGTTTTTCAATAACATCGTTCGATAAGAGACGCGAAATTTGAGTTGAATTTTGACTAGGTGCCTCTTTTTCTTTCCATGACGCTAAATTTTCTTTATGCTGTGTAGATTCGTTGTGTTTATCAAAGCCTTTGCCCTTTTGAAGAGCCAATTTCCATGACTTGAAACCAGTTTTCATGAATACATCATCTTTTGTTGTGGATTTTCCAAATTGTCTGCAAGCAAAACAATAAACGGCATCGACTTGCTCAGAATATTCAATCCAATCGTATCTATCTGTCCATCGTGACTGAAAACTTCGGTTGTCTTTGTCTTTTGGAAATTTTTTCGTTTGGAACACTTGCTTTTTGTATTCTGCACCAATTTTTGAAATATCGGTTGGTTCCGGCTGTACCAACTCCACCGTTTGCGGAATATTACGCACATTTGTTGAAGACGACGTCGCACTTTCAGTATTGTCATTTGAAACAGCAGCTAAAAACACAAATATTTCCCATTATTCACGATTTTTCGAGCGATTTTTATTTTCCAATTACTTACCATTTTGTGATGTGTTTTTCCCAAACAAATCGCTAATTGGCGCCTGCTTATTTTGTTTCATGTTGCTCAATTGAAAACCGAATCACGAAAGAGAATTTGCATTTGAATTTGCAATTTCATACTTCAATTGAAGGCTCATATTTTCTTATTTAATAATAAATCTTTATCTCCTATCTCTTTTAATGTTTAAACGCGCCGTTGTTTTTGCCTTATTTTCGACAATGCATTAAACAAGTTTATTTCCATGTGATTGCGTTGCAAATGTTTACAAAATATTTTTCGTTTATTGACTACTCATATTTTTATGTTTTGTATACATTGGCAACGATCACATTTCATGGAAATGAACTTGATTATTACACTGTCGAATAATCGAAAATTGGACAAAAACGGTAGCGCGTCCAAACACAAGAACAATTGTTTTTAGAAAAATGTTTCGACAGAACCGTATGGGCTGGCGCAAAAGTCGCGTGGGCTGGCGCAAAAGTCGCGTGGGCTGGCTGCGCCATATATACGACCCATACTGGCTACGGCCCTGCACCAATTCAGGGATAAGACATTAAGAAAAAAAAATCACTAATATTGGAACAATATTATTGGTGCTAATTTCGAGAATGAAAACGATGACGTTAATATTTTTTGCATTAAAAACCTCCGTAAGACGAACTTTTCCGCGCCGTTTCCATAGCGTTCAGCTTTTATTCAGATTTTGAGAATTTTCAGAAAAAAACAACAGTACGTTCATGTATTTTATGGAAAATTGTATTATGATTCCGGAAATCTTGATTTTGGGTATTCAAATCAAATAAAACGTCTGATTGTCTTTATTGTCGTCTGAATACTGAAAAAATTGGAACAAAATGTGACGAGTTGAAAAAATACAACTTAAAGTAACCACATTTTTCTTGACCAAAATCATAACGCGACTTTCTTTTACATTGTATTTATTATATGGCAGCCCTTCGAATCCATAGGACAACATGAATGAGCGAAGGTGTGATTTGAAACTCATACAAAAGTGCAATTTTTAACAAAATTAAGAAAAAAAATGCAAGAAATTTTGAATTATTATACCGATTTGATACGAAAAAGGTAGGTTAGCGGGTGCTGGGTTGTTCCTGGGCCCCTATTAGTTTGATGAAATAAATCGAGTGGGAGTGATAAAATCCTTATGGGGAGCCTATTTTGGGTACCTCCCAAACAAAAGTTCGATTTTTCAAGGAATTTTGAACTAACATACCGATTTAATACCAAAAAGGTGGGTTAGAGGGTGCTAGGTTATTACTAGCCCCCCATTATTTTGATGAAATAAATCGGGTGGGCATGATAAAACCCACATGGGTAGCCTATTTTGGGTACCTCCCCAACAAAAGTTCGATTTTTTTAAGGTTTTTCATAGGCTAGGTATCCTAGGGTACATCTGGGGTGGCTGAAAATTTAATGGTTTGGTACTTGCAGAATTTCATTTCCTATTCTGGTATTTGAGCAATCATGCTAAAAAAAATTTGCGTACAGCGCACAGCGTACAGGGTACGACACACCCACATTAACATAGCAAAATAACCACTGTATCGTGCTTTTTGGTATCGAAAATGGATAGAAAAATGGTTTTTTGGGGTACCTAGGTTTTGGAGTGATTACAATACTTTTACACACGACATGGTCGTGCGGAAAAGTAATAGTCCAGTTTATTGAAGAAATGTTCTAAGTTTATACTCTTTCCATGCATTTTGATAAATTATCTTCAGGAATGCATGAACATGAAGATGAACATGATTAGACCTCTCATCGTAAATTTTCAAAATGTCAGGAATTTTTGTTGGGAATTGGGAAAAATGTCGGGAATTCATAAAAAAATATCGGGAAAAGTCGGGAAGTCAAAATTGCCTAGAAAAACACAAAATAATCATATATTCATAAAAATATCAAATTCAAAATACACGTATTATCGTTTGTTATCTTTATTTTCATATTCTTTGATGAAGCAAAGTAAAAAAACTCTTGCCTAATTATGATTCATAATTATTGATCGGTGAGGTATCGTAATTTCTCGGCTGTGCCTGTTTTCACAGTCATTGGTTTATGAGATAAACAATATAAACAAAAACAAAAATACGAACTGCTCAGCAAACGATGAACTACTCTATACAAGTGACAAATAAATTTAAGGTTTTATTAGACTTTTGCCAATACAGATAATTGCTGTGTATTTTTAACGACGGATCATTGTTTAGTCTAACAGAAATCGAAATTCATCGAAACTATACATGTATTCACATGTACGTTTTGCAAATAAGAATATAAGCTGTAACATATAGTATAGTAGTAATGGTGAGCAGAATGAGAATGTTTCATAATTTGACAAAAAAATGTGCGATTTCTAAATGTAACTTCTATAATTTGACTTGAATTGTACAATAAATTCTTGGAATCAAATAACTCAAAAATATCGGGAAAATGGACTCAAAAACAGAAAAAAAAAACGGGAATCGGGAATCGCCTCAAAATGTCGGGATTTTCGTGATTTTTCCGACTTTTCCCGGCCGGATGAGAGGTCTAAACATGATGAAAGTATTATTTTTCTAAATTGATGGAGTACGAAAAGTAGAACATTCAGGAATGAAAACATTTATTAAAACGATTTTTTTCTGTCACATTGCTCACGCATCTTTGAACGAGTGGTTAGTTTATCTTGCGTTTTTTCGCCCTGGGACTACATTTTGTCACTGATACCTTTCCATATTCATTGATTTCACATTCCCAATCATTATTTAACTGTGCCCGAAAACCGTCATAAGCTGTGACCTCATTTATATAGAATATGAAGTACCTCATGTTTTGAAACTTAGACATGAAGTGAGCTGCTTCATTGGGTGAAAGTTTGCATTTATAGAACCGAATTGAAGTAAGCAACGGTAGTGATTTGGCTATTTTCGTTTGGTCCGTAACACTTAAATTGCTAACATCGAGTGATAAATTTTTAATTGTAGGATGTTTATCAATGAAACTGAAGAACGCGGCATTCAATTCATGTGAAAATTCGATGTTAAACATTAAAAGTTGACCAAATGAAAAGGGAATTTCAATGATGTTATTACTACGTATATATATGGTAAAATATTTCACGTTTCCCAAATATATTCCACTCTCAATAGATTTAGAAGAAAATGTTTTCACACTTAAGTGGAGTGATTCAAGTTGTTGTAATGTCTTGATCGCGTTCTGGAAGTCACTTGAATCTAAGAGAGCGTCATCTGTTTCGATATTAAAATATGTAATTTGTGGATTCAAACGCAAAGCGGGAGCTACAGTATTACCGCATGATATCGATGCGCTGGGTGTATCATCAATAATGCTCAAATGTTCCAAATTCGGAAAGTGGCTTGAAATGCCAGAGAGGAATTCGCGGCTACAATAATTGCAATCTAACTGTTGCATTTTCGGGAATAATTTATTAAGAAAGTTCACAGCAGCAATATGACATCTTTTCAAAAATACTTTTTTAACTTTGGAAAATGGTTTCTGGAGATGTTCCCAGCCCTTAAGACCATTTCCAATTCTTATGCATGTAATAGAGTCTGAACAATATTCGTTCAAGTAATTGATGACATGTTGATCGAGATCAAATTGCTTTTGTGTTAACTGTACATCGGAAGTCAAATGTCCGAAGCAACGTATGAATTGTAAACTGGTTTTCAAGTCACAGATGGTAATCCAACTCCTAATTTCAAGTGATCGATCTCGTGAAATATGTATATTTTCCAGATATACGATTTTTCGACAGTGTTTTTGTACGAAAATAAAATTGGCCGCTTTGTTCAGTCGCTTGTTTGAGCTTGCTGCACTTAAAAAGTCGCCAAACTCCAAATACTCCAATATACTCTCCAGACAGTCAATGTTTAGATCCGTTAATTTCATTTTTTTCGTCAGCTCGTTGATTTTTCTGCGGAATAAAATCTGAAAAATATTATTTAATATTCTGCAAATCAATCTGAGAATGTATTCACTTTTCGCGAGTCAAACTAAACCGCTGTGAATGAACGTCGAATTTTAAAGCCAAGATGACAACAACAATATGATTCTCTTCACCTGATTTCAACTGATTTTTCAGTCCGTATGAAAGTCACTAGAAGGAAAGTTTAAGCGACACAAGTTGCAGCTTCAACAATCTCTTCACAACTGTGATCGTTGTAAATTTGTCCGGTCATTTAGACGTAGAAAACATTCAAACCAAATGAAGTACCTAGAGCTAGTGCGAAAAAGAATCACTTATTTGCAAATACATATATCTGAAAGGTACTACAATTCTGCAGGTAGAATCCAAAGTACTTTGATATACCGAGCTTAGTTCAAATGACCATCCTTTTAGTATGTCAAAAGCATCACATTTCTTGGCTT